CCGCTTTGCGATTTTTCAGGCCGCATCAGCTTCTGAGATAACAAAGACTTGATCCCCCGGGAGAATGCCCAATTGTGGCTCAAGCATCTGCGGCACTCAACCCCCACTCTCCCATTCCTCTCGTCGTCGTCGTCGCAGCATCAGCGCACTAACATATCCTCCAAAACCGCCCCCGCCCTGCTGAAACTCCTCAAGGCATATAAACCGAAAGCTGGTAGCGCAACCGTTGGTGTTGTCGGATACCCAAACGTCGGGAAAAGCAGCTTAATCAATAGCTTGAAAAGGAGCAAGGTATGTGGCTAGGGTTTTTGAGCTGCGTCCATTTTATATCTCTACAAGGTGTGTGCTGTCGCAGCTCAGCCGGGTCATACGAAGAACCTGCAATCGATCCAACTGGAAAGAGGCATGCGGATTGTGGATTCGCCTGGTGTTGTATTTGACGAAGATGATTATGGCGATGGCAAAGGGAACAAAAAGGGGAGCGTGTTACTGAGGAACGTGGTGAAAGTAGAGGACGTTGACGATCCCATCGCAGTTGGTGAGTGTCCACCTACTCCCTACAGTAGCCTGATTTAATATCCATATAGTGGAAGAAATCCTCGCCCGCACTCCCTCAGAAACGCTGCAGAAAATATATAACTTGCCAGAGTTTGGTACAACTCTGGACTTCCTTGCTATGCTTGCATTAACAAGCGGGAAGCTTCTTAAGGTTTTTTGGGTCCTCCGTTCAATTTTTCTGACACTCCAACCTACACTTATCAGGGCGGGACCCCTGACCTCAATTCTGCTGCGCGACATGTGCTCACGGACTGGAATCAGCAAAAAATTCCATACTTCTCAATACCTCCGTCCATTCATCCATCGTCGATGCCCTCACTGGGCAAGTGACCAATATTTTTCATATTACACCAATCTTACATAGGTGAAATTAGTATCCAATAGTGCGGCCACTGCGCCCACGATTGCCCCGGGGGCCGAACTTGTCGGACACTCCCAAATTCTAACATCGCTGTCCAAGCCATTCGAGCTCGAGGGTCTATTTGGAGTGGCCGATGCGGGTGCCTTTGGGACGGGTGGCGACGTCGCCATGAGCGCTGACGAGGACGGCGATATTTTCTGGGACGCGGTCGAAGCGCCGATGGATGAAGATGAGTATGTCTCCCTCTCGCCTTTGCGTAGCTGCAGCTCATCGGATTCGCAGCCACGATGCCGCGAACACCTCGCGGGCGTCTCTGAAGCGCTCACGGTCTCCATCCATGTCAGTTCTGGAGGGGTCTCAGCAACAGCAATCGCAATACCAGCGCCAGCCTAAAAGACAGCGAAAATCCAAAGACGTGCCAGAGTATGATGCACTGCCGGACGAACATGTGCGGAGCAGGATGGGGCAGAGCAATCCCCTCAATCGGAGGGTGCTGAAGAAGGACGCTAAACGGGCGCGGAAAGCGCAGCGGGCGAGGGGTGTGCCCGGCACGGGGATGGACGTGGATGTTGAGCTAGATTCAACATTCATGGTTTGATCCTGGTGTTATATGCTCGTAGTACATAGAATTATCAGACGAAGGGGTTCACCGTTGTGTGTATATTTTGTAAAACATTAATGACGAGTCGACCTTCTGGTTTCACTACCTATACAGCTCCTCCCCTCTGCCAAAATAAAGTGGACTCAGCTCTTCCACTATCAATGGATTCTCAGCCCAAGCCTCAGGTGCTCCTCTGCCTCAAAACGTATGTACTTGAAATTTAGCCTCCCAAGCGCGTTCAAGTTGTTGCCATACGTATATATTCCGAATGCATTGCAATGTAGCAATCAAGTTTGAGAGCCGGCCGTGACTGTGGCAAGTTATCTGGGTGACCGCGAGCACATGACCTGTGACCATTCGTTCATCTGATTTGAATTACTAAATTAGATTCGAATTGAGATAACGCGATGGCCTCAGACTCAGAGTGGTAATAGTACCACCTCGTGGGCGACAGTGACTCATTGTAGGGACCTACATTCAAAAATGCACCTCAACTCGTACCATCATGTCTGAAAAACCACGGACACGATACGTCTTCAATGAATGGCACAGAGATCCACACGGGGAACTCCTGCCAAAGCCTCCACCCAAGGGGACGCGGACGCCCGACGGAATTGTCTGGGGTCATACCCTCAATGATTTTTTTTGGTATGCGCTGCTCATTTTTTATTTAGTGCCGCCACTCATACGTGTCTACAAGGATCCGTCGCTTGCCTGGCGTGAACGTCATGACCATCTGGTCGCGCAGCATGATCAAGGAGTTTGGTGAAAATCACCTCAAGCAGGCGGATAGGCCTGAGCCCAGGCCGCGCAGATTTCGCCCGTGGCCAGTTCTGAGATTACCACCTAGCGCCACCGACGGTCATGCCCTTGGTCTAATTGACGAAACCTGCGATTCAACTCACTCACTTGAACCAAAAAAGCTTCCAGACATACCGGAGGAGACCGCTGCACCGGAAACTAACAACTCTAAAGATACCGCTGGTGACGCATTTTCCGTCGATATATAAGCTCCGATATCTCAAGCTTCATTAGGGTCGACCCCTGTCGAGAAAAACCTTACCGAACGAACCCTAGAGGTTATCGACAATCAGACCCAGGAAGCGAATTGTGCAGCCGATACCTCCCCATGTCCGGCGGATGGAGCTCAAACCACGGCATCAGAGAACAACGACGTTACGCCAAGTCGAGATCAGACGCCGACCCCAGATGAGAATAATGCAGCAACTAGCAGCATCGTAATGATAACTCCCAGTGATTTAGGTAGGACTAGCGTTGTCAGCCAGGATTATATTGACACTTGGAGTCTCCCAAATAATAGAAGATTCAGACCACGTTCCACCCAAGTCACCCAGAGATAAAGACCAACAGTTTATCGGTACCGCATGCGCCCAGTCGGAACACGATGCAGTGAGTGTCATAGAACAAGGTTCTTTGGCAGCTCCCCACGTCAACCCGGAATCAACGGGAGCGACATCTGCTGAGAATAATCTGGTTCTTCCCGGCGCCAAACTTACGGATAGTGCGACACAACAACAGAGACACGAGGCTTCTCAGAGCGGTGGGACTAAATCAGACGTGGTCGGGGAGGTACCCACCTCCAGCCAGACCATCGAGCAGGCTGGGCCGACGTCTACGGGGGACGAGGCAAACATAGAACGTCCTGCTCATCAGCAAGTTGGTTCGTCAATCACATCTTTTGGAGACGGACATAACTTTATTCTTGCATTCAATCTTTGCAGGCAAAAGCGAAACCACCGCGGCTGATTCGAATGTGAAAATCAGTAGGTCAACGATTTCAACTATTCTTCCAGTTCTGATATAAGGTTCTTTCGTAAGAAGAGAAGCTTATCCCAAAGGCGTGTCATGAGCACTTTTATTCGAATTTTATACCAACCCCAAACAATTCAGCTTGAAGAGTTTATTCCCGAAGAATATTTCCCAGATATCCTCCTCGTAAACGACCCAAGTGGGTACGCCTACATAGATGATTCCAAGAAAGAGACCGAACAATTATTCAAATACAAACGAGTATGGCCCCGCTTCAAGCGAGATACAGAACGGGAGACTTCGTTAAACACCAGTGGATCCTGTCCTTCCACCACTTTCGACCGCCCAAAGTCAAATGAGAGCCCCAAACACAACGTCGCCCATTTGAATCTTGCATCCGCATCTAAGCTTGGAACTGGTCATCATTCCGTCGTTCGACGTGCACCACTCCGCCTCCCACAGCCCCTGATGGTAGATTCGCCAACGCAGGAGGTGACAGTGGCTGTGAAAATGGCAACAGACGGCAGTGAAGCCCGTGGTCTTCTCAACAACGAAGGCAGGCTATATAATTCTATCCCCCAACACTTGATGGAGGACTGGTGTGGGTTAAACCTCGTCGCTCCCATGATCTACCCGGTCCCCGCGACGGCTATTGCCCCAAAATTCTACGGTTTCTACATTCCTGTTAGGGAGGAGGTTGAGCGTGAAAGGCGACATAAAAAGCGAGAACTCAAGGAGAAAGCGAAGCAGGCTGCTCGAGCCAAGCGGAAAGAAAAGAAGAATGTCACTCTGGAGCAGACCGCAACCACCGAAACAAATGGCGCAAGCGGGATATCTTCACCCCGAAATGATGAAACCGAAGATGATAGCGACGATAGTGTGGACGAAATCGATGATAGTGAGAATGAAACGGAAGAGCAGATAAATGAAATACGGAAAGATCAGCTTTCACCCATTCTCCTTCTGGAAGAATGTGGTTCGCCCATCTTCCCCAAACAGTTCTCGCCCGATGATCGGTAAGTCCGAGACCATGCCAGACAGGTATAGACCACTGAAAGTCCACACGTCCATTAATAGATCTGCCTGCTATTCTATGCTTTTGCGCCTCCATCAAGCAGATATTGCTCACAACTCCTTCTACATTAGGAACGTACTCGTGCAGCCAGGCCCTCTGACTTTGCCTCCATCACTGCGCTCAACTGATACGCCCAGCTTTCGTTTAATCGATTTTGGCAGGTCTGATGCCTGGTCGATCCATCTGGAGAAGAACCTTCGTACGAAGGTTCGGGGATACGGTGAGAAGGATTCGAAAAAGCAGACACCAGTCGACGAGAGAGCACGATTACAGATGGAAGAACGGATCAAGTCGGCAACAACCACAATCGCTAATGAGTGGTTTGACATGCGTGACTACGAGATGCGCCGAGCGCAAGAGGAACTTAAACTTGTCGATTTTGACTGGTAAACCGATGGTAGCTGGCAGGTAGTGTTTTTAGTATGCCGTAGTCTCGACTGAGACAGATACTGAATGACTGCGTCGACTTTGTTCAAAACAATTCCACTACGTTTAAAATAGCTGGCGTTAGTGTTTGTTCAATTAAGCGCCGCTGTATCCTAGCTCTAGCCTTACCAGGCACAAGCGGCCATAGCCAATATCCATGCAATGACAGAACAGCCAGTGAAAGCGGAGCAAGGAGTAAAAAATGTAGTAGCCCACCGCGAGGGTCGAACTCGCAGCCTTCAGATTGTGTTGGAGGAACACCCCGCCTTAAAAGTCTGACGCTCTATCCGATTGAGCTAGGCGGGCTTGGAAAATAGCCTCCCGGCGCTTTCATACCGTCACGTTCAACTGCTGACAGCAAGTGGTTTCAAAATAATCAACATTGTGTCATGTGTTGCAGTGTGTTACAATACTTATATTTATCCCAAGGCAAACTGCACATATATTAAATTCGTGATTCATGACCAGATCATGTGGAGGGGGAAGGCAAGGACCTGAGACTGATCCGTATGGGGAGTGAAGGGGAGGCATGGGGATGGATACATGTCAACGTACAGGATATGAACATAACACAGCCGTTTATACTATACAGCGAAGCGGGAGGATAAGTCTAGCAAAGTACATGAATTGCTCAGTGAACCGGATTGAAATGGGAAAAGAAAATCAAGGTCGTATCGTATATTCATGTGGTATCCCCCTCGAGATCGGCACTACTCGAGGTCGACTTGCTTTCGCCTTCTGTTGAGCCCGGTGGTTGGGGAGGCTGGGCAGCCAATGGTGGGTGATAACCCGCGTGAGTGGGCCATGCAGAGCCAGGATAGCCAGGATACGGCGCATGAGGTAGTGGATAATACGAATAATACTGTCCAGGTTGTGATGGGTCAGGTCCTGGGGCGGTTGAGGGTGATGCGTAACCTGAGTATGGATATTGGACGGGTGGTGCAGATCCGGTTGTTGGAGCTTGTTGAGGTGAACCGTTGCCTGGGTAATGTGCAACTGGGTATGCATGGGGATGTGGTGGGGGTGGAGGCGGCATTGGGTAGCCCGGCATTTGATAATACCCTGGTACCCCATAATGTGGGTACGATCCCGGAGGCATGGGTGAGGTGGGATCGCCGTAGGGTTGGGATGGTTGGGTGGTTGGGCTGAGGGTTGGGTGCCACTTGGTTATTTGTTGATGGTTCACCTTGATTAGGTTTTCCCGGCCGTCGGGATCGCTTGGGAGCGGTCGCTGGACCATATGGTTGGTATCGACTCCCCCCCCTCTTGGGGTTAGATGGGCCTTCCGCGACTCGAATGTCATTTAGTAGGGGCATGCCCGATGACAAAGGTGCTGACAGGAGAGAAGGAGATGTGTCAATATCGTCCGCTTCACCACGATATCGGGGTAGGCCGTCAACCCCAATTTCAACTTTTGGCGGATTTCGAAAATGGGTTTTGTCGAGGTATTCGGGGCTGATGTCTAGCGACGCAAGTTCTGGAAGAGAAGAAGGTGAACGAAGACGTCCATTTTCAACGTCTTCAATTTTATAATAAGAGATCAAGTGCTGTGATACACCGCCAATTGTCAATGAGAACGTCTATCGGAGATTCAATCTATGCGCCGGTGAAAAGAAAGGGAGACGTACCTTCTTCATCAGACCATCGGGTTTGAACTTGTAGCTATTGGTTAAGCTGCCCATAAGGGTTCTTTCACGGTTCTTGTCTACACCTAGTTGGTGACTGCCATCAGACTTTGGACGGCTTAATGTTTGTCCTTCAAGCTTGACCCCTCCAACGTCGTATTGTGATTGTTCATTGATTCAGATGGCTGGGGGTCAGCTCGTGCTCCTCGATGGCCTGCACCACGTTTATCAGTTTCGCGATAGAGTAAGAAGTTGCCTAATATGCGACTGGGACTCCAAAAAAAGCCGTCCGTCCATCGCTTTATGCCGCTTTCGTCCTCATCAAAGACAAAGACAGAGCCCGATGTGATCATCTTGCGCTCAGAATCAACCAATCTTCGTGTCACTCTAGGAATGAGTCCCCTGCGAGCAGCCTCGAGGATAAGGAGAGCATCCCCGGTTGTCTCGATCCAGCCAGACCATGGAGGTTCCGTCCACGCACTAGAAGAGGCTTGCTGATTGCCCTGCTGTACCGCAGACATGGGGGCTTGGTTGCCAGCAGGGACTGCATGTCGTTCGTAACAAGATACAATGAGCACAAGACATAATTTGATTCAAAAATTGAGGTGATCAGTCACTAGTTATTAAAGTTTTCCATCAAGACTTAAAGTTGGCTCACCGTGCAAGTAGATTTGCGGAGGAGAAATTTGTGAGAGCTGTGTTGCGATTTTCAACCCCGACTTGGTGAGCGCCACAGTTTTGTTTGTTTTGTTACCCCCACCACTCTCTGAGCATGCCTCTAAATCCTCCAATTTTTCGAGAAACCGATGTATCCTATGCTGGGCTTTCCCTCTTTTAGTTTCCAGATTATTCCTAACCTTTGGTGTAGCTAGGCAAATGCCATATTTTAAAGTTTTACAGTCTTGTGGCGCTTACATCAGCGAAAGCGCCGACCTATTTCTAAATTCCTTCTTGCGCATGCTCATCATGGGTAATACAACTCCCGTATCAGAAAATTCTGGGGTGCTGGCTGGCTCAGGCTGGGAATTTTTTTCCAATGGTTGTCCAACCGCATTCCCCAACTTGCTCAAGCTTAGTCTTCTCAATTCTGGCTTCGACATCTACAGTGTTTTGCCGAATTTGCTACCCACACAACTGCGATCAAACGCAAGTGAAGCCCATCCTTATCTTTGCCTGTTATCATATTGATTATGGCTGCAGACTTAGGGCGCGGCTAAAGTTTTCATTATCGGAAGATACTATAACCTTGGCGGCGAGCGACGCTCGTGGGTGGTATGTCAGAGGTCCTTAGTCCTCGGCACCTTGTTTCTAAACCCGTCAAAGACATGAGGCTCACACACTATTCGCGTTCTGGCATGATTTATTTTGTCCCTGTAGACGAACCGATAATCCATTTGGGTGTGAGCAGTGTTCGTTGAGTGCCTAAATTTGAATGTGACACTTTGTTCACCATTTTTCAGTCCTTCTTTCGGCCCCTTTTCGCACTCGAGTAGAATCTATTTATGGTGCACCACCAACAAACCTCCGGGTCCACTCACAATCAACGATTATAGTAATATCTGCCGCACGAGAGACAACCTTCATTGAAGCCCGGTGCGGAGAAATTTCCCGGGGGCCCCACTGACTTCAAAAAAAGCTTGGGACAGAAATAGATACACATCCACATGGTTATGGACTTGCCATGACATATGTCGCCGACCTACATCGTTCACAATGCGGTGATTGGCGTAACGGTGATCCGGGTGAACCGCCGTAACGTTACCTTGGCCACCACCTTTCATTATCGTCATCATTCACTCCCCCAGCTGTCGGCGGTGGATTTACACGATATGCGTTCAATAACCTCCAACAAGAGAGGCCTCGTAATACCCTATCCAGGGAGCTTTACCAGTCACATTTGATGATGCATGGATTGCTGCGCCAAAAATGGATTTATGAAGCAAGTGCTACCGGCGAAGGCGTGCGTTCCAAACTGATTCAATCTCTTCGGTGCGACGGTGTCAAACATTCACCTGTAGACAGTCAGGGCAGTCCTATTCATATATGATGGGTAGACAAGCGAAGAATTTTCATACGCCCATTTCGCCGCACGGACTGACAGCTCCCATCCACGAACACAAGGCACACCACTATTCCGGTGCTTCCGGCTACCCAGGACATATCATTTCTCCTCCATTTGTGAGCTGAAGTTCGGACAGCAGGGATGCCACACGTAGAACCTCACGCTCGCAATTTCCAATTTTGTGACCCAGCGGACGTAATAGGCGAGAAGCCCCTCGCTGATTTCCTCGGCATGGCCATAACCTTCGTGTAAAGTGGTGCGAGACTCTGGCTGAGCCAGGTAGAGAAGCCGGGAAATGTGCTTGGTCCAGATTCGGGGCGCGATCATTCCCAGTGTCTATAAAACCCAGTTTTAAAACTTTACCCTCGTCAACTTTCCTCAGGATGGCTGCCTATTGGGCCCTCTTTCTGGCTTTGGCTCTAAGCTATAGTCCTGTACGTCGTGCTTCTTCATCCAACATTCAACCAGCCAATATTGCTCCCCCAGCTAACACAGGCGTCGGAACACATCCACGCCTCATCGTTCCGCCACCGTCGGCAGACACTCGCAATTCCGAAAACCCTTCCGGGTACTTGGACCTCCAAGGGATGCTTCACGTATGTTATCATCATTTGTTGTAAATGAATACACCTAAGGGGTAGTGGCTCTCCTAGTGATAACACAGGGAGTAGAACACTGAATGGCGCGACCTTCACTGATGGGAAGAACATGACCATTGAAAATTGCATCCGATTCTGTGATTCCAAATCTTTCATTTTCGCGGGAACGGAATTTGGTGTACGCCCTCATTTTTATCCTTATTGTTATTCATACCTAACGGATGATATATTTAGCAAGAGTGTTGTAAGTAATATGGATCATCTGATTGGCGCACCCAACATCCGTTTTAGATTGTGACAATTTTATTCAAAAAGGAGGGGTGGCCGCCACCTCGACCGACTGTAACACCCCATGCACTGGAAACACCCTTGAGCCTTGCGGGGCAGGAGGCCGTTTGAACGTTTTCACCAGTGGCAAACCGCCCCCCGCGCCCCCATCGCTGGTTTCGAAAGTAGGAAACTGGACTGCTCTTGGATGTTACAGGTGACGAGGGTATTTTTCTCCCGGGTATCGTTAAGATCTCATTCGTGTCCGCCATCCAGTGATGCTGTCAATGGAGCTCCAAGAACCTTACCGAATGCTATGACCCCACCTGGCTCTCTCACCATCGAGTCCTGCACAACCACGTGTTTCAATGCAGGATTTCAATACTCTGGGACTGAATTTTCTGAGTACGCTCTTTCCCATATGAATAACAATTTAAGCTGATTTTCTCTCTTCTAGCGAATGCTGTGGGTTTAATTCCGCCCATATTAGTTTATATATTCACGCTCTAGAGTCGACAGACTGCGGCTCTTCAATTGCCAGCACTGGGGTACTCAGTGCTGTCACGGACTGCAATATGGTATGCGCAGGGAACAGCTCCGAATTTTGTGGGGGCCCGAACAGACTGAGCTTGTATAACCTAACTGGAGCTCCTCTTCCCGCTGGGGTCCCACAAGGCGGAAACGCAGGGGGCGGAACGAGCTCCTCTGTCTTCCCAGTCACTTCTGGCCTTCCTGCGCCATGGAAGTATGCAG